TGGCGTGCGTGAAACAGTGTCATATCCCCCCCCCCCCCCCCCCTACCTCCCACGACTCAACTCCCCCAGCCAGTTGTCCCAACATCACATGCACACCTGCTGTTGCTGCCCTGCTTGGACCCTCCCCCCTCTCCCCCCGCCAGTCCGCCGGTACTCGCTGCGGCGGCCGCTGCAACCTTCGCCAAGACTGCTGCCGTGGCGTTCAAGCCGCCGCCGGTGCCGCCCGTCCCTGGCGGGCGGCGCGGTGACAGCAAGCACCACAGCAGACAACACATGGGAGGATGTTTATGGACGCGGTGTCGGAGTCAAATATATCGAAAGGTCCACTCGTCAGACACAACAGCAGCAGCAGCAGCAGCAGCAGCAGCAGCAAGAAAACACCCAAACTCACTACCGAAAAAAAAGTACCTAAACCTGGCAGCACGACACTCAAAAAATGAGTACACAATGCATGGTAACCTTGTCTTCGAACAATTTACATCTTCCAAGCATCGATCGAGTCAACCTTAACCCTCCCGCGACACCCATACAGTAGGTGACACAAGATACAACACCCCCTGGACCCACAACCAAGAAGAGCACGTACAAATCAACCGACCCGGCTCTCGGCAAGACGGTTCCAACGCACCGCCGCCACTCTCTGGAGCAATTGAGCTTCAAAAAAACTCGGTCCAGGGGCGTGTGATATCTTACGTCATATTACCTACCGTACGGTACACATTACACACAAGCGTTGGAATGTTACACCGCGTGCCATGCCACCCACTTTCCCAGAGGGCTTTCCTAACCTGGGGAGGCTGCCCACCCGGAAAACGACACCGAGCCAGAAGAACCCCCTCTAGAGTCATCAGAGGCACCCTGAGCAGCAGCAGGACACGCCGTAGCCGTCGCCGCCGCCGCCGCCGCCGCCACCGCCGCGGTGCTACCATCATCGTGACTCGACGCCTCCTTCATCATCATTGTTTCGTCGCTGGCGCTGCCGCCGCCACCGCCGCCACCGCCGCTGGAGGAGGAGGAGGAGGAGGAGACCCCGGGCTGCAGGGGCCACCACACGGGGGGAAAAACAAAAGGAGGGTCCATGGTTTGGCTTGCTTGCCTAGAGCCGTTTCGGAGGACTGGGTCCATGTTCTTGCTTGCTTGCCTTCAATCGTTTCGGAGGACTGAGCATGCATGGTCCCGTTGTTATCGAGATGGATGGATGGACCACTGTTTGCTATTCTTCGTGATCTGCCGTGAAAAAGGTTGCGCGTTGGAGGGGGGGGGGGGGGGGGGGGGGGGGATTTAAATTTTTCCCCCCCTGGTTGGGGGGGGGGCCAACCCAATCCCCCTTTCCCCAAGGTGGGTGGTTTTTCCCCAAAGGGTGGGCCAAACCCCAAAAAAAAAATTGGGGGACCAAAGGGGCCAAAACCCTTTTTTTTTTTCCCCTTTGGGGAAAAAGAAAAATGGTCCCCTTATCCGGGGATCCCCAAACCAAAAAACCCGGGGGAAAAAACCAAAAACCAGGGTTCCCCCCCCGGCAATTCCAAAGGGCAAAACTCCCCTTTATGGGTTTTCCTCAAAAAAAATGGTCCGGCCGGGGCCCCCCAAAAAA